GGAGACCAAAGCAAAGCCAAACCCTTTCTTCTGGAGGCTGATTGGTGTCAATGTATACCAGATAAGATCAACTGATCCTCATGATGGACTCATATCGACCGGCTTTCCTTAATCCGGTTGAGCCAGTCTGGTGGTGCGGCCCTAAGCTGTATGATTAATCTTCTCCCTTCCCTTATCACTCTGTATGCTTGTATGGGGCATTTTTGTGTTTGCGTGTGGGTTTGAATACCTTTTCAAGTTGATGTCCTCAATCCTCCTACTACGGAGCCGACAAACTCGACGACAAACGGCCAGCTTTGCGTCCAGCCGACCGATACCTCAGTCCGCGCAAGCTGTAGCAGAACACGACGCTTATCGAGAGCACTACCGCTACCTGTGCGGTAAGGGGCTTAATCAGACACATCCACCTTCGCAGGGGGCACAAACTTGCTATCAGGCTTCCAATTATCTGAGCCATCATTGTCATCATCATCACCAAGTACATAAGCCGCAGCCGCCACAGCTTCGGGGGGAGGCTCGTGAATTTCAACCATCTCATTCGTGCGGACACAACAGCTTCGGCGATATTCATCAGCACTTGCATCCACCACATCAGGCCAACCCAACCCAGCATAGCCATAAGCGTGGTGAATCACTGCATGCGAAAAAAACGCAGCAGCAGAATCACCAATATGATGGGCAGCGCCGCCACAATCAGCAGCATCGAACTCACCAGAGCCGACAGTATGTATCTTCAGCATACCTTGATCCGAGCCAGCAAAATGGGTTTCTGCCTGGTTCAACAGGTGACGGCCCGTCGGCCGGGCAAGACGACCTTCCAAGCGGTAGCGAAGCGAAAGAAGAAGACGGAGTTCGGTCTCACTTGGTCTCTTCCACGCGTTATCAAACCAGCCTGAAGTTACCCATACCGCCTCCGTCACGGCAACCAACCCCATCTTCCAAGAGGCTCCGTGCGACAACTAAAACCATGGTAATGGTCTCGACGACTGACTCGAGACGAAGGCCTCCGATTCGCCGGCTCTTCCTTCGAGATCCAGACTCCCAACTACAAAGAAGCTCACTACGGAAGATTCCGAGCTCGAATCACTTGATACCCGTGTCCCTAACTAGAGTCCGAGAGGATGAATACCAGCCGCATGGTGAATTAAGCGCGCGTGCTCATCGCCACCACCATTGCCACCATCGGCAAAAGCACTATTATCATCAGTTACAACAGCATCATCCGTCACAGAATCATCAAGAAAATCGAAAGCAGAACGCAAGTACGGCTGTCTCTGTTGGGCTCCGAGGATCTATGGGCAAAAACCACGCACTCACGACAGGCCGAAAAGACGACAAAGCGCTGAAAGTGCTGCGTTTCCTTACCGGCTGGAGAGCCAATACGGGGCCATCGGTAGCCGTATCAAGCCATGAGAATACCTCATCATCAGACAAGCCACTAAAACATTCCCTGACTGCCTGCAAGTGTTTGCTTTGTCCTCAATGCCCTCCTTCAAGGCAGAGCGGATCAGAACGACGAGAGCGAAAGACACTCGGGTTCCAGAG